CACAGTGGCATCCTCTGTAAGATGTTGTCTCTGCCTTACACACTTCCCCCCAGTGGGCATTCTTAAAACGTACGGGGAGTCGGATAACGCGCCCTGATTAAGTTTCTCTTCCGGTCATCTTGGCGGATGATGTTGGATGTTGGCAGTCTGACGGTGTCGACGTGCTCTTAGGATTGCTGTCTGATCCGGTAATGGCGTTGCCTCCATCCACTTTGAGAATCGGTCAATTGTGATAGGAAGATACCCAGGGCCGTGCTATGCTATGATGCAGAGATGCGGCCGGATTAGGTGGCACCGTAATGGGGCGTCATAAGCATCATTTAAGGGGTGGTATAAGCGGCATTTCGAAGACTTGCATCATACTGAGAAAATCTACCGCGCGGCCCTGAAGATACCGCGATCCCTCCGAGGGTGATAACGGATCGACTATGTCGACTATGTGCTCGAATCGTGAATTTGGTACAAGGAACTTCGACAGAGGTGCACGTGTATGGCGGTGAAATTTTGCCTTTTGGCAGGCTAAACATGTTTGTGACCATGTCCGGCAGTCTTTTTTTTTTTCATATTTGACCAAATGTACTTCTGAGTGACCAGTTTGGAGGATGTTCCACGAGCTCCTGAGTGCGACAAGTTGTAAATGGCCGAAAACACTTCCGGTCAAAAAGAGGGAGGTATGTACGGTCTACGGTGACCGGTAGAGAGAGACGTCGCAGAACAGGGATTTTATTGAATTCGGAAAGTTTACTTTACTATCTTGCAGTTTGGATTCTATTGTAATTCTGACAGTTGATCATTCTGCAATGGTGTCGTAGTTAATGGATGGTACACCGATGGTGTTTATAAGTGACAGAGAGTCTGCTATGTTGTTGTTCCTGTCAGATATGTGGCGTAACTCGGTTGAAAACTGTGATACGTAGTCCAATTGTCGAAATTGACGAGGGGACGCTTTGGCCAAATCATGGAGGAAGGCGTAGATGAGGGATTTGTGATCTGTGTAGATAACAAATGGCCACCCCTCCACCAGGTGTAGAAAATGCTTGACAGCGGAGTAGATAGCTAGCAGCTCCCGGTCGTATGCGCTGTATTTCATTTGAGGCTTGGTGAAAGTTCTGGAGGGAAAGTTTAGCTTCTGGTGCATTATCTATACTATGCAACTATAGTATGTTTGGAGAACTAAAATTAAAAAGTCAGTAACGAGTTACTTAACTACAGAACTTGAAAATTTTCCGAAATTTTCGAAAAAAGGTACGGGAGTTATTAAGCTTTAAAATAGGTGAACGGACTTCTTAGTTGTCATTCAGATCAACGTCTAGTTCACCGATCTGTGTAAAATACGGAAGATGCATCCACCCGCGTATACTTCAGTTGCCCCCACGTCGTAGTAAAAATAGTTTTTTAAGGATTCCCACAGGAAAATTAGTATAGAACGGTCTTAAGCTTCGCGAGCGGCGTGTACGTATTTAACGACACCCCTCGATTTCAGTGGCGTGCCATGATATTTGATGATAGGGAAGCTGTGTTTCTATAAGAAGCCGACTTCCAGGGGCAATCAGTCAGTGATGTCTAGGATCCATTCGTATTCGTTTGTTCGATAAGCCAGTAAAAACCGTAGACTTCTCTAAATGCATTTTTAATATCACAATTACATTCTAAATTGCAAGCCACTAATATACGAATATACAATAGCGATCTTATTATTTTTTTTTCACGTGTAATATAGAAATTTGTAATAAGATACATAAAGCGGTTATAATAAAATGTTGCGATATTATTTTCATATAATTAAAATTAATATATATTTATTTTAGAAAATACAAGGGAAGCGGCGCTTCCACCGCTTCCAATGACAACACGCTACTACGTCTGACCAGCATTGCCAGATCTGAAGGTTAAAAAGTAGCGTGGTTGTGCTCGAAAAGTAGCGGATTTGAACTGTTTGTAGACCAAACAATAAAAATGAATTATTTTGCAACTATGCACTTTTACTAATGAAATAAGTTTGTAATATATACAGTAGAGCCTCGATTATCCGACTCAATTCGGGACTGGGGTTGGTCGGATAATTGAAAAGTCGGATAACCGAAAAGTATGAAAAAATCCATTATTAGTGTAGTATATTATTATATCCCATGTAATTAGTATATTAGTATATCGCTATTAACCTACTTCGCGTTGACTTTTCTTCCATGTTAAGCCTATCAATTTTTTTTTTTTTTAAATAATAATTGTCGCTATTGTATCGTTAAAAATTAGAAAATTAAGCCTCGTTTAAATAGTGGCTCCCTTTCATGGTCGAATGAGTGTTGCCAGCTAAAACACGTAAAAATAATATTAAAGTAGCCAAGACATAGCCAATTATTGTAGCGCCATATCACTAGCGGGCATTTGAAATTTGCCGACTAGGACGGTCGGTTAACCGAGGTGACGGTTAATCGGGGGTCGGTTAATTGAGGCTCTACTGTATATATATTCGGTTTATCTGCATCAATTTTCTGTAAATCAAAGCCAGTCGAGACGAGACGATTCATTTTTTGAACTTAGAGACTTAGCGACTACGGTTTTTGTTTTCAGTTTTAAGCCACCCTGTTTCCATTGTATCAAGAACTGTTGTATCAAAATTTAATAACTTTTGGATCACTTCTTGGGAAAGAAAATTGGCAATTCCAACAGGATAATGCTGCCATTCATGTATCAAAGTCAATTAAAAATACAGTCGACCCCCCTATAATTACGGTCCCTATAATTACGATTCCTATAAAACTACGAAAAAATTGTGACGGTATCCGTAAAAAAAAGGTAAAAACCTCCTATAATTACGTAAAACGTCATCGGGCAGCCAAACTACTTTCCCGCCGTCCGTAGCGCCACGCTACGGAGAGATTTCTATCGTCTGGACAGTATTATATAAATTATATATAAATTAGGTACTGTACATATAATTATATATTAATTATATATAAATTAGGTACTGTATATATAATTATATATTAACTTAATTTATTGTAACTTTATTATAATTAAATATATATTTTTCACCGTCTAGCGTCACGCTACGGCGAGTTAGGCGACCTATCGT